CTGGAATTGTCCTCCCACTCCCACCAACTTGTAAATCAAAAGAGATACCACAACCCGGGAGAGACTGCCAAGATCGGTGTCACCATCAAGGATCTGAGAGACGCAAGGGTGGTGATTCCGACCATATCCCCTTATAACTCACCTTTTTGCAGGAGAAAAAGGAAACTTAATAATGTGGTGAGGCCAATCACAGCTGCAACCTAGATTTGATATCTTTATTGGAGGAAATCCATATAAACCCCAGTAACGGGTATGTGGCTATTGAACTAGCAAATACTTTCTCTTACATCCCCACAAGTATGGTAAATTACACGGTTTGTATTTACACAGCAGGGATAACAGTATTCCTGCCTTGACTGTCTTGCCCCTGGGTTATGCCATTCTCCTGCAAACCGCAAGGTCCAGAGGGACCGTGATAGGTTTGACTACGCAGAGAACACTATGCTGACACATTCAGCTGATGCCATTCTGCTAACCAGACTCTGTGAGCAGGAAACAGCAAGAATCTTAGGCGCCTTAGACATACGTGTGCCAGAGAGTCAGAGATGAACCCTGTGCAAGTTCAAGGGCCTGCCACATCAGGGGACCAGCGGTCCGGGGAATGTCAGATATCTCCCAATTCTCACAACAAGTTGCTGCCCCCTACACCATACACCATGAAGAAAGAGGAGCAATGCATAGAGTGCCTTTTGGATTTTGGAGCAGACATATATCACATTTGGGCAAGTCACTTTGACTCGTTTACTGGATAACTTGTAAATCTGGCAATGTTAAGTCTGAATCTAAAAAAAGCTCATCAAAAGGCCAGGCTCTGATAAAGCTGCCCTATCGCTTGGACATTACTCCTGGTAGGCTCACGTGCTGGACCTAGGTGTCAGCCAAAGATGCCATGTGGTGCCTCTGGCAAGCCCCAACGGAGCATCACAGCTACAACCCTTAGAGTTTTGGCCCCGCTATCCTCTGCCAATGACTATTCTACATTCTAAAAAGCAGCCTCTGGCTTGCTACTGGACCTTGGCAGAGACCGAATGCCTGATTTATGGAACACCAAGTGATTATCAGACCAAATGTTCTTCGTGAACTGCGTGTTAGTGGAGCCACAGAATCATGAAATTGGATTTGCAGTTGCATCCCACTAGAATTTGAAATGGTATATGTGACGCTGGGCCCAAGCAGATCCAGAGGGCACAAAGGAACTGCCCGAGCGGATGGTCCAAAGTCCCATAGTGTTTGTTTCTGCTACTTCACCTCCCCTCCCATAGTTTCCACTCAACAGCGTCAAGGGGAGGAGGAAAAACGACAGGCCTGGTTTAGGGAAGGCTTCGCACAGTAAGCCAGCACCAGCAAGAGTGGACAGCTCTGAAAGACAGTGGTGAAGGAAAGGAAAACCCTCCCAGTGGGCAGAACTTTAGGCAATACATGTGTTATCCACTCTGTGTGGAAGGAAAAAAGGCATAAGATGCTGATTTATATGGACTCAGGAGCAATAGCTGATGGGCTGGCCCTTTGCAGAGAATGGAAAAGACTACAACTGGGAACTCGATGTCGTGATGGTCTAGGAGAGAGGTCTGTGGATGGCTTGTTAAAGGGCTCACAGAATGAGAAGAGTTATGTCCCATGCAAATGCCCCCCAGAAGGCAATCAGTGAAGGAGTCCTCCCTAATTTGAAAAGATGTTCCATCCTGTAGATTCAGTCAGCCTCTTTCCCCAACCAAATTGGTGCTTTTTTAGTGGACCCGTGTACAAAAGGTAAAGTCGTGGATTTCTGTATGGGATGGGAGATTTCGGTGCTTTGTCCAGGTCTCCATACAGTGTTTTATTTTATATAAAAAGCTAACTTCCCATTATCCTCTCTCCACAGCCCTTGGTAACCACTATGCAACGTTCTATCTCCGTTCATTTGCCTGTTCTGGGTATATTCATTTGTTCTTTTGTGTCTGGCTTATTTCGCTTAGCGTAATGTCTTCAGGGTTCATCTATGTTGTAGTATGTTGTCAGAATCTCCTTCCTTTTTAAGGCTGAATAATATGCCATTGTGTGTATATACCACATTGTTTACCCATCCATCTGTTGTCTATTGTGAATAATGCTGCTATGGACATGGGTGCACAGCTATCTGTTTGAGTCCCTGCTCTCAATCTTTTTGGTACATATGTAGAAATGGAATTGCTGGATCATGTCACACAGTTTTTAAAACATCTTCAAATAAACTAGTGCTTCTTTAATAAAGTTAACTATTTTGTGACATCTTTTTTTTTTTTTTCATCTCCAAGAATTTTTGACACCAGCACCTTTCTGTGAAGAACTCAGTGTGTGTGGCAACAACAAGTTTTTATTTGTTGTTTTTGGCTTGGTGTTTTATTTATTTATTTATTTTTTTACAAGAACGATGAAAAAACTCTTAGGGAGCCAGCTCTTTAGAATATTATCAGTTCACATGCCAAGATAGGTCTTCCAAGACAGACCTTTTGATTCCAGATTTGAACAAAACATTTAAATATAGCTTGGCTGTCTGTTTTTTTGTAAAAGCTGTTTGCAGCAGGAAAATTTCTTTTGATTATCGGCATCATTTACAAATCTTACGAGTGCATGGCATTTACTGGTGAAATCTGTCGACGACTCCAGCCTGGATAAAGAATCTGTTGTTTCCCAGTTTATTACCCCAAAAGCAAAAACCAAAGGCTCTTCAGCATTATGTGATATGTCATCAATATGTAAAGTTATGGTTCCCTCTGAGAGAACTTTTTCACTTTTTCGGACAGCATCTTACACTAGCATTTTACTCACGATAATTTTACACACCGGCATTATTAGGTTCTTTTTTCTGGACAATAGGCTCTGCTACCCAATAACTTGCTTTTTGGATCTTTTTACTGAATATGGTCTTTAAAATAAAAGCCTTATCTGTTTATTTTGAGATACTAACAGATAAAAATTAGTGAGTTTACTCGGCAAATGGTCATGATTCATAGTTCTTTTCAATGTTGAAGTCATCGCTATATTTGTAAATTGTAATTCTTAGGACCCTGCCAGTCCTAAGCTTCTCCTCTTTCATTTCACACTTCATATTTAAAAAATCACCACACTGGACCATTCGACACATTTGTAAAACACAAATGCTAATAAGATATACAATAGGAACGCATAATAAATAACTAAACAAGAAACTAGCAAAAAATACAAAATCACGCTGAAATTCGCTTCTAACCTGCATAATTCATGTTTTATAGTGTTTACGTCAACAGCAAAGTGGCAGAGAGGCAGCTGAGTCACAGCATGTAAAAGTTATTTCTTTAGAAGGAAAATGTTCTATGGTTTTCCATCACACCAGAGTCATCAGTGCATAAGGTGGGGGGGGGCAGGTAAGCCAGGAGGGCGAGGCTGACGTCATCAGTTTTACCTCCTCTCCAAGCAAATGATCAACAAACTTCCTGATCTCGGGTTGAAAACTGAGCAAGGACTCACCAATGATACAGTACTACTGTGTGTGGCCAAACGGGGCTGAACAATCTCTAATGGTTTCTGAGACTGCTCAATTACTACTGTCCATCCCTAAAAAGCACTGGTCTCACACAGCACATGAAGATCGAAAATAACGCTGCTTTTATTTTTAATCACAGAGCAGAATCCCTGGCCTAGAAACATCTCAAGGCCAATTCTGTGGTTCCACAGAACCCTAGCTGAAACTCTGCCCTAGAGTGTTGATCCTGCCTGCTTGTCATATCTGTGCTCTAGCCCATAGGATGGAGAAAAACAGAGGTTCACATGCCTAGTGCTTTAAATCTAAGACCCAGAAGTTCTCACATTGCTTCTACTCTCACCCTTTGGTCACACCTAGATGCTAAGTACACTGGGAAATGTCATCTCCAGATGGGAGGACACATGCACAGGAAGAAGAGAAAAATGGATTCGCGGAACAACCAGCAGGCCTATCACAAAATCTTTCCTTTCCTGCTGCTGGCAGCAGACACAGCATCCTGAGGGCAGGAGTGGTGTCTCTTTCATCACTGAGAACCTGATACTCAGTGACACTGTGGACATGGCTGTAACCAAGCACTTAAGAAGGGGCTGCAGTCAAAGGAGTGACCTATTAGCTTCCAGAAGTGCTTGTACTGGCACAAATGAATTTGGTGAACAGGAAAAGCTTTGCTGTGGATTCCAGCAGGAAGACAGGTGGTTAATGTGACAGACTGAAGCCAGTGTTGGTTTTAAGTTCTTATTCATCGAGCAACTCGTTTATACTCTCTGAGCTAGGGGATAATTCCATCATGCAGGGTCATTGTGACGATTCGATTAAAACTGCATAAAGTGGGTCCTCGATAAATAATGACCAATAGTTTTATTTCAGTAATAATGCAGGAGGAGGTTTCCATCACTGTCAATGATCAAGGAGAGAATAATAAGACAAACTAACATGCATTGTGCTGTTAGTATAAGCTTTACACGTCTTAACTTTTTGATCTTATGAGGTGAATGTTATTATTGCCATTCTACAGAGGAAGAAACTGAGGCACAAGAAGATTAAGCGACTAGCCCAAGTTCACGCTCCTACTTATGGTGGGGTCTGGCAGTTTGAACTCCAGAGCCCACTGGCATGTAGGTAGTACTGGAGATCCCGCCCCTTGGCCTCTTAAAGTTCTTTCCAACAACAGGGTTAAGCAACCTGCTGGGGCCTTCGGTGTCATCCTGAACTTCTTTGTCCAGCTTTGCCACTGGCCTTCTGGGTCACCTGGAACTATTCCCTTCCCTTTTCTTGACTTCAATTTCCTAATTTTACAATGCAGAGGTTAGACACAATGATCCTTGATTCTGAGCTGTAGCCCATTTGGGAATTAGCCCTGGGGAGGGGGACTGCTGGTGACATCACAGAGAGGAGAATTCTAGGAGAAGAATCAGGCTTTCCTAGAAGCCCCAGCGCCACCACTTAGGTGAGAAGGGCAGCCTAGGAAGGGGCCTGTTGGGCCCAAGTCTTGAGCTATTCTCTTTCCAGGGTTGCCAGCATGGATCAACCTTTGATGGCTGAAAGGGCTCAAAATGAGGCAGACACCAGTGATTTGGATGCATTCCCTCAGCCCAGCTCATCGACCCGGGACCACAAGCCAGGCCGTAGCGAAGTTCACCGTCATAGCAAATCCCGACACCACAGCGTGTCCACTCCCCGTGATGTGTCCCGTCACCACAGTGTGCCCCATCCCTATGACATGTCCCATCATCAAGGTGGATCTCACCACCTCGGTGCGGTCCAAGACTTCCCCGACAATGCCTCCTCCCCCTACTCCCACCGCTCCAGGTCCGCCACCCTGGCTCCTCCCCGTGGCCTTAGTCTCTCCCACCATTCCAGCGACGAGGTCTTTGATGGTAGCAGGAGACCTAGCAGCAGGCCCCGCCAGCACAGTGAGTCGCGCAGCCGCAGTGAGTCGCGTCGCCGCAGTGAGTCCCGTCGCCGCAGTGAGTCCCGTCGCCCCAGCGAGTCGCATCGCCGCAGCGAGTCCCGTCGCCGCAGTGAGTCCCGTCGCCGCAGCGAGTCCCGTCGCCCCAGCGAGTCGCGTCGCCGCAGCGAGTCGCGTCGCCGCAGCGAGTCGCGTCGCCGCAGCGAGTCCCGTCGCCGCAGCGAGTCGCGTCGCCGCAGCGAGTCCCGTCGTCGCAGCGAGTCCCGTCGCCGCAGCGAGTCGCGTCGCC